TGAAATTGTCACAGAATACAGTAACTAATATTTTATCCTAGAGATAATTAATTTAAAGACTTACTACGTAATAACAATCTTTAAGCAAACCTGTCATCCGTGTTGATTGATTGATTGATTGTTGGTTGCTTAACGTCCAGTGGCAAATATTTCATGCATATTCAGGACGAGAACAAATTAACAATAAATACAGTACGTAGGTTCTGTAATAGGGGCGTCCGGGATTAAGGTCGGAGAAATTTAGACTGCCACGGGAAATGAGGGTATATTGGATAGGGACAGAAATATAGCCTTGCAACAGGTCACCTACAGACCCCTCAAAGAGTTGTTACAAGGGTTCTTAACGTGCAAAGAGCGTGGTACTCTCTTTACACAAAGCATCGGATTTAACGTCCCCATTCTGACCGGACGTGGCGGCAAATTTGTACATCCCGCACAGCCAAACGGACGCCCCACTTCAGCACGGGTTTTACCGCCGGTCGGAGGAAGACCAAAGGTGACCATACTTCTATTCCCCAGTCACCCTTGGGTACTATACTTAGTTGAAATGGGTAGATACATCATAGTATGTTAATTGATAATTTCATGCAAGTATCTACCTTTTAATTTCACAGGCAATATTGATTGGTCTATTGTTGGTAGGGTTGTTACATTTAGATTGTTTGATTGATTGTTGGTTGCTTAACGTCCAGTTGCAAATATTTCATGCATATTCAGGACGAGAACAAGTTAACAATGAATACAATAGGTAGGTTCTGTAATAGGGGCTTCCAGGATTAAGGTCGGAGAAATTTAGACTGCGTTACATTTAGATGGTCTATTGTTGGTAGGGTTGTTACATTTAGAATCATTTATCATGTAAATGGTCATTTTGCACATGTCAATTCTATTTAAAACCTAAGACTAAACTTTTCAACAAAGAAAATAAGGTAATTTGAAGTATTAGAAAGATTATATCGTAGGGAACATGTGTAACCAGTTTCAAACTAATTTTTAAAAAACTACCTTGACCAAAAACTTTTAAACCTGAAGCAGGACAGATGGACGCACAAACTAAATAAAAATAATGCCCCACCTACGATAATAAAAAAATAAGAAGATCTGATTACTTGTAATTTTTTTTTATTGGTCTAACTTTTGATCTTTGTAGGGATATTTTAACAAGAAGTTGTCGCAAAAGATTACAAACATAAGATGGAAATGAAATTGAATAATGCACATTTATATCCCAAATGGGGTTGAAGGCATACATAATCAACAAAATAATACAATACATCATAAAAAAAAAACCAATAAAAGAACAAAACATTATATACATATGTATCTATCATGCAGTAGTCGAGTCCACCCTCCTCAGTGACCATGACTTTTTAACAAAGGGAGCAGCATACTGCATAATTGACGACACGAAAGACATAAAACCAATTTATCAAAATTATCTATATTTTCTATATCAGAATAGATATGTTTAACTTTCTGTAAATATTCAAATCTCAAATCTTCATTTTTTGTACATGTAAATAAAAAATGTTCTTTCTCATCTATTTATTTAGGCAACAATGTTGACATAAACGTTCTTCTCTATTTATATTTTTGTATCTACCCCTTTCAATTTCCAAAATAGGGTCACTTACCCTTAATTTAGTAAATCTTTTCCTTGTTTCAAAGTTGTTTTCTTTAAGTAAATAAGGCTTAGTTTCATATTTCTTTTTAAATTTACTATTATATAGATAAATAATTTGTTATTTTCTGTTAAAGAATTAAATTTTTTAAAGAACAGCTTTTTATAATGTTCTTGCATAATCTCTTTTATGTGTATATTCATTTTATATTTTTCTTTTATAAAGTCAATATTTTCAATATTAGATAGTTTTAAATTAGTTTGATGAGTTATATTTTTTACAAAGGTTTACCAAGAATAGGTTCCTGTTTCATCCAACAGTTTAGTTGTGCAATATGCATCATATAACAACGGATTAATTTCAGTGTTAGATATTCTTGCCATATATTTGAGTGCTTGAACTTTTACATAAACATCTATTGAATATTGTCCTAACTCTACCCGTGATGCAATGTTTACTGCTTTTGTTTTACTTAAACCTAGAATTAATTTGCAAAATTTTGAATTCACCTTTTCAATAAAGCTATTATATATAATAGAGTTTAGTAAATCAAAATATTTGTCATTATTTATTACTCTACTCTTAGATCTAAATTTTTTTTCATAGTAGTCCATATTCCAAATTTCTGAGTTATACATTAAAATTAGTTTTATTAAAGATATGTTCCAATTTTTCAAATATTTCACTTATTATCTCATATTCATGAAACTACAGCATATAAATTTTAACTTCTAAGCTTCAACTTGAAATAATAGTGAATTGTTTTCTGTTTTAATTATTCAAGTTACCAAAAATGTGCATGCAATCATATAGGTGTTGTTATGAATACTTGAATGCTTCCAAATAACCTATAACTTAACCATATAACAATTGTTTCCAAATACCTTTATTAATAAATGGCCAGTAAAAACTCTAAGAGATATCGCAAAATTAATCAATTATTCTACAATTACTCAAATGAACTTATATTTTATCAAGTGTATTATGTATATATTGTATATATTGTAGATGTATTATCTCATAATCATGTAATTACAGCATATGAAATTTTAACTAACTTCTAAGCTTCAACTTGCTATAATTGTTGCTAATTTTGGTATTTTTTTTTTTTATATGCTATGATTTTAATACCACACTGAACATGATCGCCAATATTTTACTCAGTATTGAAAAAGTTCGATTTACTTGAACCGAAAATTTATTTCATTGTTTTATATATTGTAGACAAAGATGAGCAACATAGCCTAGAAATTAAAAGATGCATTTCAGCAGCAATTGTTTTGCGATGTAAGACTAATTCTACAGAACGGAAACTTTTAAAATGTCATTCAGTTGTGCTACTTTTAAATTCTGATTTTTTTCCAATGCATATTTAGTGGAAGATGGAACCAGGACATGACAATTGACTGTACTATATTTTCGTCTGATGTAACCCAAATTTAAATAAAGATGTATATCCAGATATACTACAAGCCTAGTATGCCTTCAATGAACTAAAATTTAAATGTATTACATATATAGATGAAAACATTAGTCGGGAAACCGTGTTTACTATTTTAGCTTTAAGTGAAGAATTCACTTTAACCAATATTTCTACAATGTGTCTGAATTTCATTGACACTGAAGCTGAAAATTTACTTCTGAATTATTCAGAGAGATTAAAAAATTTACTGATGAAATTGTACTTAAAATAATTACTCGTGACAATCTACAAATACATGGACAGTTCCTGTTTGACTGTCTTATTATATACGAAGAAAATTACAACAAAGATGATAGGAACCGGACAGATTAGTGGATGATCGACTTATTTTTTCAGTGAGCAGAAACAAAACTAAAATCGGTTATACTATATTGCAGTCCGAAAAAATCGTTTATCTATTCACTGTCTCTCTACGAACAGAATGGTGATCTAATCCAAAATTGCAAAACAAGGATGTTGTTCCAACAATTGTGTTCAACAGGAAAATGTATTTAAGACCAGAAAGAAGGTACACGTTGAAAAAATACAAACATACTTCAAAGAGAGAACTGTTTCTACTATGATAACAACCTTCCACCATGCCAGAACACCCAATGGAAGTTACCGTCATACATAAAACGAAAGATAAATGGTCCTGTACAATAATTGTGTTGGATCCATTTCGTTATTCTTTAGTTGTAGTAGTGAGGATGTCGCTTTTATTAACTGGTTCAGTTACCTGGACTACGACACTAGTTCCAGGTGTTGTTCGTCAAAAACAGCAGGAACCTTCCAAATTATGTAATCCGTCAAAGATGTGTCAGCCCCACTGATATAAGGAGAGGAAAATGGGGTCATTTGGATCCCACAACTTCCAATCTTCTAACACTTGTTTATAAAATGTATGCCTTGTAGATAGTCCTGACATTCGTCAGTTATTAATTTTTTCATGTTGTTTTTGTTTTTCCATTTTATTTGTAAATGTTTTAACAATTGAACTGATTTATTTGTAAAAATTTACTGTCTGAAATACATTAATGATAAATGTAAGATATATAATGTACAGCTAGAAGACCACCCTAAAATTTTCAATTTGATCTTTTGGTTTCCAACATAAATAAATTTAGACATAAATTGATTGATTGATTGTTGGTTGCTTAACGTCCAGTGGCAAATAGTACATGCATGTTCAGGACGAGAACAAATTAACAATAAATACAATAGGTAGGTTCTGTAAAAGGGGCGTCCGGGATTAAGGTCGGAGAAATTTAGACTGCCACGGGAAATGAGGGTATATTGGATAGGGACAGAAATTTAGCCTTGCAACAGGTCACCTACGGACCCCTCAAAGAGTTGTTACAAGGGTTCTTAACGTGCAAAGAGCGTGGTACTCTCTTTACACGAAGCATTGGATTTAACGTCCCCATTCTGACCGGACGTGGCTGCAAATTTGTACATCCCGCACAGCCAAAGGGACGCCCCACTTCAACAAGTTTTTTACTGCCGGTCGGAGGAAGACCAATGGTGACCATATTTCTAATCTCCAGTCACCCTTGGGCCGATTTAGACATAAATGAAATATATATAAAATTTTATTTTATTGTCATTTTGGTTCCATGTATGCTTAGAAAATAGTACTCTTTGTTATAAAAAATTATATATTGACTATTTTTTGTTAAGAAACTAATCCACACATATCACTGATAATGTGTCAGAGCATTTCACTGCGTTTGATGTCATAAATAAATAAGTAGTTCAAGTTGATAATTTCTCGGTGAGATTTGTTTTTTGTTGACATAAAGACAGAAAACAAACAAGTAGGATTACACGCTGTTTAGACCGTTGCCTTTGGTACAGTTGTAGATTTCTTAATTAAGCAACCACAACTTTAACCGATCAAAAATCAATATTGAAAGATGGAGATTAAAAAGGGTAAGATACATACCACTATAAGATTCATATAAAGGCTTCAAGGTTGCATGTCTTGATGATCGTCTGTTTGCCTCAAAAGGTAGAAAAAAAACTTATATTGGCACTAGTAAACATTGGTTCAGTTGTTGTGCAAGTGTTACAATAATTCAGCTTAGATCTATCAATGCGTTTGCAACAAAAGTAAAATAGAAAGATGAAATTGAAATGAAGATGTGTGACAAATAGGAATCAGCATTGATGAAAACCAATTTCATAAACTAAGTGTATTAACCGTGAATGTAATGCCTGCCAGACAGATGGCCAATTTACACCATTTAGATCAGGAGTATATCAACTTAATTGATGACTTCACCAGATAGGAAACTTCAAATATGCGTAATAAGAATGGAAAAGAGGTCTCAGGTTATAATGGTGAAACAGAGAAACGTGGAAAAAAAATTCAAGATATGGTATTGGAAACACTGACTGAGCTATCAATAAACTCCAACCATCTTTTTAATGCCACTGTTGAAGGCCGTATGGTTGTTAGTTTCAGTGTCATTTGGTCTCTTGTGAAGAATTTCTCATTGGCAATCATACCACATCTTCTTTATTTGTCATACTGGATCATCATTTCTTTTAAAAATTAAGTTACAAAGAGAAGGTGGTGTTTTGAAAAAAAAACATGTGAATTCTTCCTCATACAGTCCCGTGGCTGTATTGATTCGAGGGACATTGATAGCCTTGTGAAAACGTGAAAAAAAAATTACGTCAAGCATAGAAAATCATATTTTGGAGAAATTTCTAACTGACCACATTACATTCCTTAGATTTCAGATATCAGAATCAGGTCTACAACACCTGAACATTTGTGGTGGGAGTAATAGAAGACGGACAGCGCAGGGGATAAATAGGGCGAGAGGTGGCAGAGGCAGATGCCATATCAGAGCCTTACAAGAACTATCAGAACCTGTAAATAGGGCCGAAGTATCAACACAGGCGAGGGTAGAAAGAGATCGTCAGTTGCAGGTAAACTCTCAAACATTTACTGATGCATTTATAAATCGACAAAGTTAATTGTTTCAAAATAGATTCATTATTTTCTTCATTTAATGCCACATTTTAATGTATAGTCCCTTACCAGTTAAAAATGCATTGTATTGAAACAAAATTATAACTGCTTTAAAGTGCAAGGAATATATAAATGTTATCTTAGTCCATAGATTCCATGACAATCCATTAGTTGAAACGTTTAATAACTTGAGGCTGAGAGGTTTCCATACCAGTGGACAAGAGAATCGTTACAAAAATGGGAGTATGTCGGTGAAGGTCTAATGTGATCAATCTTATTTAGATCATCACTAGAGCAGTTTGTAAAAAAAAAATCTTTACTGATGAGAACTGTGCCAACTGGACAAATATAAGATGTTCCCCAAGTTAGCGGGATATTACTTATTTTGTTTTAGCTGCCAAGATGAAGGCAATGAAGACCAAGTATGACCAGGAAGACTTGATAGCCTATATTGATGAGTGGCAGAAAGACACCATGCAAAACACTAAAACCTGTTCACTTGTGATTTAATTGTGGTGTCTTCCTTGGCTCATGAATATTTAGATGAGTACGAGGAATAACACTATCCTAGAGTTTGATTTATCTGATCTTGCAGGAGTTCCAAGTAGTTCATTCAATTAAGATATCGGATGAGCGAGGGTAGTCCATTAAAGTTGAAACAGTGTTGGATTGGTCACTCCACTAATACGAAACACGCTTCTTTTGTGCTTCTTAAGCAATTATCTGAAATTGCCTTTTTCAAGATTGGTCAAGCAAGCTAGGGATGTACTTTTACTTGAATATGTTAGAATTTAAGAAATGTATGATTTCAGTCATATGTTAGGTAGTTGCATTAAGTTATGTACATTAACAAACAATAGTTGCATAACGCTTCAATTTCTCATAGGAAGTCTCTACAGTCTCCAGTAGCAAGTATCATATATATATATTTATATATATACAAGTCTAAATTGAAAACAACGTTCAAACCTATGATTGCGTTGGATAAAAACCGCAATTTTTATACGTGTGCATGCAAAACAAATTTCTTGTCAGAGGGATCTAAATACAGCACAAACAACATTTTCCAAAAGACCAAAAATAATATATATATATATAATATCATAATTCTATTGAAATAACGAACGGCAAAACCAAATAGACAATATGTGGTTTGTGGAAAATTTCAAACTAATCTAAGATCTAAACATAAAGGAGAGAAGGATGTAATAATGCAATGCAACGTCCGATAAGAGCTGACAACCATGCATATGATGCGGAAAAAGAAAAAGGCTGCCATAACTATAACATATTGAAAATGAATAATATGCTGAACTAAGCGCAGCCTGATACGACCGCAGAAGTCACACCCGGAACAGTTGAAGCAAGTTTGGAGCTTGATACTCTATGCCATAATATAGCATGCCAAGAAATTGCCTCCGGTGAAATTTCGCAAACACCCCGCTGAGCCAATTACATGGATGATTACTATCACCTATTAATATATGATAACAGTTGACCTAGTGGCTATGTGGAGATTGAAGCAATTCACACAGCTGCAGAAATGTTTATAAATCTGAAAGTTTTATCTCAGATCAGCCAAGTAGCCTCTCGGTAATAAATAATTGTGTAGGATGTTGTATTTCTGTTTTCTTTGTTAAATGAAAAAGTGATATTCTTAAACGAAGAGTTACTGAATAAATGTTTTAAGAAAAGTATATAACTAGAAGTTCTTATATTTACGCTATAGTTTACAAAATTGTTACTAAGCGACTAGCATAATCTCTCTTTAAAAAAATATCATTATTATTCAAAATTCATGTACAAATGAATTAAAAATTTGATTTGTTTTTATTTTTAAATGTTTTTTATTCAAATTAAGAAGAAAATCTATACAGATATAAAATATCAACTTTGCTTCGAGTCTATATCTTTAATAAGGTACCGTCAGGAGATTAAAACAATATTGCAAAACATGTCTAGATTGTTTACGGAAGGAATTTTTTTCACTGTTTAAAATAGTTTTAATTGCTATTTCATTACTGATTTCGTGTTTTAGATTCTATTAAAGAAAATCATAATCTATTTCAATGTGTGTATGACCTTTGTAAACCTCTTTTCTTCTGGTACCTTTACATTAAAATAACAAATAGAACAAGTGCGTGTAGAAAAAGAAACCAGTTTATCACCAAGTAAATAGAGGGAAAACAAATCATTTCAACAACCTTAATGTCAAAACTTTAAACAACATATGAACATGTGAGAACACGACAAAGAATTGAACGCATATAGATTCCAAAAGACGATTCTAATTTTTCTGATTGATCTTAAACAATGTAACTGCAGTGCATAGTATAATCTATAGTTTCTTGACCCTCCCCCTTTTTGGGCTTATTATATATTCTGACAAGTGAAAACTGTTAATGTTATCTACTTAAACTTTACTACATGAGTATAATCATTTGAAATCTACACTATGTTCGGAGCGAGTTCGCCTAATTATGGACAACAGCTAGCTTTCCTTCAACATCAGTATCATCAACTTCAGCAGGAAAACATTTTTTATCAAACATGCATTAAAAACCAACAACAACAACTAGAAGAGCTAAAGGCAAAACAAAATCCATGCACTCCTCCAGCGGAAAAAAAGAAACGGCGCACTCCACTGGCAGCAAAAAACAACAATGTATCTGCATCAGAATTACAAAAAACACCACCAACTTTGAAACCATATTTTGAGTTAAAGCATAGTGAAAGAGCAAACAGAAATATTGAAATTAAGAGAAAATTTTCTGAAGTGGCATCGTCTTTATATAGTGACATTACATCAATCAAAGTTGAGCTTGAGTTTCATAATGGAAAAAAGAAATACTTTTACCCAAGGACACCGACATCTGATCATGATGAGAGCTCGGAGTTGAAATATTCTAATAGAATTAATGACAGAGATACAGTGCAACAAGTTCTCATGGTCAAGGACAGATTTCGCATTTTCGATGATGCCTTACATGAACTACATATGGTTGGGAGTGTATTACCTAGTAAACATATGCTAGTTGAAGAAAGAAAACGTCTAAACACTGTTGTACCAATTCACATCCATCCAGGTGTAAGTATTGTTCAATGAAAAAAAAATGTATTTTATTTCATTTGTCTGTTATTCCCTAGGGTAGAAAGAAATGAAGTTGTTCAATGAAAAATTGATTCCATTGTTAATACATATTTGATGTATTCACATTGGAATTTTGTGTTTATTAGGGTTTTTTTATTGACATCAAATCGTGTCATATGTTCAAATAGGTATAAAAGGGATATCCCATCTTTGTTTGATCATATTTTTTATAACAAAACTAATATATTTTGAAATTAAAAGGTAACTTTCCAGATATATAAAATATTATTTATAGCAAGAACCAAAATATTTGCTTTTCTGTTCTAATAGGGTAGGAAAGATGCCTGCCTATCATGAATTTTCTCTTATGATTTGCAAATCCTGAATACATTTAGCTGTGTTTCCTGTATTTTCCGATTTTAATATTCAACTATTGGTGGTAACAAAATGCATTCAACAATATTATAATGGTACTTTAATTTTGTAGGCAGCTAATGACTGCAGTTATAGATGTATAACTGACATCTTGGAGTATATAATTCAAAAATATTACCAAGAAGAATTGATTGCACCTGGACCTCTAGATCTAAAACTCAGATTTGCTTGTGATGGTGCAAAAATATCGAAAAAGCTTAATTCCGTAAGAGGAGTGATGAAACTATTACATGCAAGCATGTCTCCTGATGATGAACATACATTATTCTTCTTCACGGGTAAGAACTACTCACGTTGTAAAAATACACTGCTTGAAAGTTATTGAAATTAAAAAATAAACTTTTCTTCTTCTTACAGACAGAAGTGATTATAACCAGACTCTTATTACCTTAAACTTGATAAACATGTAATTAAAGATGATGATTTTATGAAATTACATAACTACTAGTAGTTAAAAAAAAAATTATCAGTAAAAACTTTGTTTAAACAGGGGAAGAAAACCATTATTCCTTGAAGAAGTATGGACATCACACATTTTTAGAGATGGCAAGACTACAGGAAGAAGGATTTGAAATAGATGGAAAGAAGATTAATGTTGAATGGTAAATTATCTCCCCTTTTGAAATGTCAAACTTTCATTTAAATATTCAGCAAACTAAATATTTTTTTTACAATGATTATACATATTTTGTTTTTATACCCCTATATACATGGTATATAAGTAAGCAAATATGTTGGTTTCTTTTTATTGTTTTTTTGCAAATAAGTAAGTTGGTTTTTCCCTTTTGAATTATAAATCCATCAAAGCTTCCAAGATAAAATAATATGTTATCAAAATGTTGGTGTATGAAGAATACTTACATGTACTCCCTAAGCAAAATTCCTCGTAAAAACTAGTTATTCATAATCATGTCCATGCTATACTTTTACAGGATCTTAACATGTGACTGGAAAGCCCTCTGTCTTTTAAGAGGAATAAATGCTGCAAACAGTGACTACTTTTGCCTATGGTGTCATTGCAGGAAAAGAGAGATATGCAATTTCAGCAGTAAGTTATAAATAGTTTGCTACAAATTTATTATGTTTCCGCAGTCCTGAATGTATGTCAACAGCAAGGACATAAGCTGACATCCCAATTTCAGAAAGAAGTTTTTAATTAAATGTTAAAAGATTAAACTTTAAATGCCATGATTAAAGCAATTTTATATTTAATCATTTGTTCTAAATGTTAAGTTTTCAATAATATGATGATAATATGTAAACATCTGCAATTGGAAACTTAAATTTCTCTTTATTAGTCAAAGAATGGCCAATTCAACGCACACAAACAGAACAGAATGAATCTGTAGCTAACTGTAGTACTGGGTATATAAGACAAGACATGTGTTCTTTTATCGATTACACCAGCATGGCGCCTGATGATCTTCACTTGCGTATCAGATTGTCATTGAAGTTGCTTAATCAGGTTAGTTTGCTTTTCAAAGCGTATAAGCTATATATGTATGATTGTCTTATTGAATTGTTACGTTTGAAAATGCATACCAATGCATGCTATAATTGTTTTTTTGTTTTTTGTTTTACTATATCATAAACTGACTTCATTCTTGTCAATTAACGCACCACAATGATATATAGGAAGTTCAAAATATGATACCATATTGTTATCTCTATGTTTGATTTATAATTGTTTAAATCAGGTTGTAACATGGGCAATTGACCAGAAAAATGAAGACAAATTGGAGGCAGAAATGAAAAGGATTGGGGCTTCTTTTCATTTTTGGGAGGAGCGTGGAGACGACAAATCAAGTACCAGTATAAAGAAATGGTCGCAGCCATCAGGTATGTTTGATTAATAAGATTAGAAAGACTAAACCATTTCTCTATATTTTTTCTCTAGTTTGTATATATGTATTCAACATTAGCACATAAATACAAGTAAAATTTTGTAAGATGAACTTTTGAGCCAGCTTTCAGTTTTCTAGATTTTAAGACATGTCAATGTATAAGATACTAGTAGTTTAACATTTTGTTGAATATTTCAGGTGATGAGCTGAGAAAAATCATAAAGTATTCGCAGCTTCACAATGTCTTAGACAATACAAAGGACAAACACTTGATCAGTGTTGAAAGTTTGTCAGTAAACCAGTTGAGGAACGAGCTTGTCCAAAGAGGTCTTAACAACAAAGGGAAAAAAGTGTTACTTGTTGCAAGATTGAAAGAAGCTGTTGGAAATTGTAAGGTAACATTCTACTTTGGTTAAAATAAAATTCTAACAACTATATGCATCGTTTACCTTTTACTAAAATTAGAATGTTGTCTTTTAACTGGAACAATTGAACACAAATTATGTAAATACAAGAAATGTTTCATTTTACAATAAACAGTTTATAACAAAAATCTGTCTTTTATTCAGTTTAGAAAGAAGGCCAATGCTAGCCGCCTGCAGGTTTCATTCGATTATGAAGATGACGATGATGATGATGATGAGATTAGTCTTGATGTTGATGCCCTCCAGACACTCTGGGGTAACTTTCACTGCCTGATGGAATCTCTGCGAGCTTTCCCAGGTTCTGAAGAATACAAAAATCCAGAATTATTCATGCAAGAAGCGAGAGAGTGGGCACAAAACTTTCGGAGATATACATTTGATGAAGATGTTACACCATACCTTCATGGTAATTTTATTAAAATTAACTTAATACACATAAATAAAGAACAAATGGTATCTGTTAATTATGTTGCAATATATAACGGAGTGCATATAATGTTAAAAAAACAACATGTATTTATGTATCGCTTAACTTTTTTGTACTGAAATTGTCACATGTTTAGCCATGTATGCTAATATATTTTACTGTTTCATTGACAATTTTTGATTCATGTTTTTGTGAAGAATGTTTTTTCTATTTAATACTTTTAATGATATATGTTTTTTACAGCTATGGTGTATCACGTGCCATATTTCTTGGAAAAGTACAGATACCTGCACGATATTGGTGTTGCTCAGGTAGAAAGGAAAAATTATGACCAAAGAATGGCATATTTTGATAGCACCAATAGATATGGTGGGAAACACAAAAAGAAAATTTCAGAACAGGTATAAAAATACAGAAAACTATCTTACCAATCGTCGATATCTTCAATATGTGACCTTAAGTTTACTTGTTTTTCTTCCTGAAAAAAAAACTAATGATTTTTGTGCCTTAAAACTTACATATATATATATATTTGTTTCACAAAAGATTGAATGAACCAAACAAGGTTATTAAATAAATTAAGAGTTGCTTCCCTTGGTACATTAGTTAAGCCAATTGAATATGATAAGAAAGGATTTTTATTTGCAGATACTACAGAGAGAAAATAGACTGTTGTGGGCAAGCCTAGAAGGAGTAAAAAGAAAAGTCAGAAAATACACTTATCAAGAAAATCAATAGTACCTTCTTTTAGATATGTCACCAGTAACCATATTCTTTCTACCCCGGGTGAATGTTAACTGCAGCCATGGTGGTCCAACTACAACTTCTTCAATGGGAGAGCACATATCTGGTCTTGCTGTTTCGTTCTCACCATCAAAGTGACATCTATTTAAAATTTAAAGTTAAAAATATAAACTAACCTTAAATCTGATTATATTCATAAGTTTCACAACAAACAATTAAATACATTAAACAGTATTTCATAAAAATAATTTTTAATAAAAATGAATAATAAATATTTCTGAATTTATCTGTATTATTTGTATGAATTTATGTATTTTATTCAGTATCACCTTAAACAAATTTACGATTTAAAATATGGATATATATTCTGTGTAATTTGCCACTGGACGTTAAGCAACCAACAATCAATCAATATATTCTGTGTATGTTTTCATGTACTGTATAACGCTATAGTTCGATACTTAAAAGTGTTAGGATTGTTGAACTTGCTGCAGGTATTTCTACATTTAATTTACTCTTTACGTTATATTAAATTTCATTTGTTTTGTATATGAATATTTTTTATGTGTATTTTTTAACATTATACATATTGTTATTTTGATTCAGATGATTAAACGCAATAGACAGTTGTAACTACCGTTGACAAGCTAAGTGGCTAAAATTAGTCCTTTGTTTATATCCCCAAGAGAGATGGATCAATTCTTTGAAGGATACATAGGTCTGAGTTGATGTGTGGTAGCATCTTGAGTCCCAACCAGGGCCTAGGGCACGAGTAAGATCCTGACCAGCAATATGGCAATCAACATTGCCCTTTTCATTGGCAGAAATCTTTTCGAGACCTAGAACCCTGAAATTGGCATCAAACTCCTCTTCCCGAAATGGTAATTTGACAGTTATTCTATTTTGGCGACCCATACTGCCATCCGGGGTATACCTGACGTCTGCCAAACTGTCAAAGATTACTTGGCGAAGAGCCATGCAATCTGAGTTCACAGAAAATTTTGCAGGTGTACTTTTTGTGAGGGCTACCTTTACCAAAGTACAACTGTTTGGATTGGCCCTGTTGAGGTGGAGGTATGAATGCAGTTCTGGATTAAACTGTAACCTCACCCAAGTATTTGGGCCATCCCAGTCAGACCATTTTACCAATACCTCCTCCTCTTCACCAGCCCCTCTACTTTGAAGTACATCTTCAATCTTCCAAACTTTCTGAAAAAAAAACACATAAAAGTAAAGTGTATGAAAGAAGCAAGGGGTGTTTAGTTTCACATATAAATTTAAAGAACAACGCAATAATTTATATAAATTGAATTCTTTTTATGCATTACTGATGTTTTACTATAGAGTATTTAGGCTCCTTATTAAAAAGTCTATGTAACTGAAGACAAGGCGCACTTGAGGTCATTTGTTGTGATATGGGTTCAATGTTCTATTTTATATATTTGTATTTGAATGCCATGATGTCATTGATATTGTTATAATGTATTTGCCATTGACACTATTTAGTATTATGGGTGTAATTTGTATTTTAATAAAAAAAAATTAGAAGATTAAAAATTAAAAATTACTAATAATGTATTTTATTGAGGTGGTTGTTGGTACGTATATTCAAAATCATTTTTCAATGATAGAAAAAGCTCAGCTTTCATAAATTTCTGGATACTTTCTGGCGGCAATATTGTTTAGAGAAAAGATATTGAATACTGTACGTTCAGAAATTATTGCGTGCATTTGTTATTCCGAATTTTGTAGTATGGACTAAAATATTGTCATTTCAGGATTTGATTTGATTTTTGGTGTTTTAACGCCACTTTTAAGCACCGCTTTGGGGCTATTTCGTGGCGGTCAGTTTTTATTGGTGGAGGAGTGCCCGGAGAAAACCACCAACCTTCGATAGGAAAACTGACAATCCTAGTCAATTAAGATGGGAGTCGAGTGCACCCGCACGAGGGGGGTTCGAACTCACAACCTCAGTGTTGACTGGCTAAAGATTACAGTAGTAACTACTAAGATCCACTCGGCCACCGAGGCCCCTGTCATTTCAGGAAAATCTGCATACAGTTGTATGTTTCAGATATCAGAATGCGACTTCTTATTATTGAGATACACATTCAGTCGCATTATTTGCATTAATAAAAACCTCTTAATAATTCCTGAATTTACAGAATTGTGTGACTGAAACATCATGGGCAATTTCCTTTTTTTTTTTTTTTTTTAAATATAAATACAACTCAATTCCTTTAAAGAAAACCACAGATTTATTGATAAAATGCCGATTTCATTTAAGTAAGCATGTTAAAATTGCAAGTACCAGGCTTCCTTGACACAGTGACTTTGAGACCCCCCCCCTTTTTTTTCTCTTGGGGTTATTTTTTGTGTTTATTTCTAATTTCTTTTTTGTTCTTTGTCTTGATTTTCGGGAACCATTGTGCGATCGAATTGGTAAGAGAACGTACACGTAAAAAGGTTTTGCTAAAAATATAACATCGGCAAAAAAAGGGGGAGGGATTAACCATCGAAACAACTTCTCTTTTTGAGTCTGCTTAACATTCCCTTTTCAATCAGATTGTGCCCAATATATATCAGATTCAGCATAACCATTGATAAATAATTTCGAATGCTTGAAGAGAGGTATACCATGTATACACGATATCCCAATCTTAACTAGCGAATACACGAGACCAGCTGCCAAAAATACGTTGAACATTACACACGAAGGATTGAATCTGCAAATTTAAGACAATGTGTGCTATCAGGCCTTAAGATTGAGGATTGAGAACAGATTTATTTTTATTTACTGTTCAAAAAACAAAGACTTACATGATTTTATTTATGCAAGGATCATTGATAGCATTTTTTTGGTCTTGTACACGACTTTTTTTTTGGTATTCTTAACTGATATCGATTTAACATTTCGGCTTATTTTCACTTGCTTTATTTTTCATTCTTGTCCAAGCAATATACGTTGAACTTAGACACGTTAAATATAAATTAATAATTTAAAATAAGGATTTACTTACAAAACAGAATAAAAGGGAGTGCCTCTGTGTGTATATTTATTCATTTAATCAAATCGCGATAAAACCGTTTGAATCGTATATCCATTAACACAAACAATAAAAAGTTAATAATCCAAGTATTAACCGAAACGGAATTTTCTTCTTTAGCATGTGTGTATCTTGTATCAGATGTCCTATAACTAAGTTAATATTAATGGATTTCCGATATCATAAATTAACCTTTTTGTGTTTATATTAGGTGTATTCTTCATATGTTTAATTATATATAATACATTAAAAATATTACCTCTTTCACTTTTTCTCTCTTCAAGGGAAGTTTTCCTGAAAACTCCCATTCTCCATAAAGTGCCGGAGCGTTTCTATTTCTTGCCATCTTTGAAATTATATATCTTACATTTATACGACACAACAACACAGATAAACAATAGCAGTACCACTTGAGAGTAGGTCAATCTTGTTATCACAAAACTTAATGAGAAGACAGGAAGTTGCTATGGAAACTTCGCCTGGTCGTTGCGATACAGGCCATTAACTAATCTGTTTCGATCATTATCTACTAATGAGTGCCGTAGGGGGTAGACCGGAATTTTTGGCTGGGATTTCTTGGCATGGGTTTCCGTCACAAAATAAATGTGGCCAAAAATTTTAAAAATCTATTGCACAATACTATGCAATTGACAAATGATTGCAGATGTCTTCTTGAAATTAAAAAAAAAATGAAATATCCGTGTAAATTCTTACTTCAACCAGTAAATCTATGATACATTTCATAACATTCCAATAGATGCAGGGAACGTGAAATCGGATTTACCGTCTGGGCAATACAAACGACAAAATGGTTTCGTTTGAGGTTAGCTCAATAAAGGCAACAGTAGTATATAGCTGTTCGAAATTCATAAATCGATTGAAAAAATAACAAATCCGGGTTACAAACTAAAACTGAGGGAAACACTAAGAGGAGAACTACGACACAACAGAAAAATAACATTAAAATGTAACACACACAGAAACGTACTATCATATAACAATGGCCATTTTCAAAATCTCAAAATCTGAATAGGTGAATTTTAAGACACGTTCATAAAATTACAACCAATGAAATACGACACGAGGTAGATATATGGTGAGCATGTAAGTAATGCAAAACCTTTAGAATTAGATATTAACCAGAACCCTGATATATATATCTGTTTCATCGGTTTTTAAAGTTTTCCCAAATGAACGGAAACCTTTTTCCAGGTTATGAGCTGAATATGTTTCTTATCGCGAGAGCAGCACTAGAATAACTGTAAGCTGTTTAGGCATGTTATCTTATTATGCCCTTCTTAAACCGTTGTGCGGAATCGATATTCCGTCCGGAAAGGCAGGGTACGTTAATGGTGACCCTATCTGCCTATGTAGTAATAAAATTAATTTTGTCGTTGGTAGTACGCTAAGATCCATTCCTTATGCATTAGACTGTTGTAATTGTTTTAAAGTGATTTATATTATATTCCAATGTTGACTGCTGTACCCCATTTTTGACGTGTTTGCCTATTTGATTTTGATCACACATTCAATACTATGGAATTGAAATAGACTGTCGAACAGGAGAAAATAAACTCATCATAGATACCAGGATTGAATTGATTATTTTTTATTTACGCCACACGCGCACTTCGTCTACAAAAGACTCATCAGTGACGCAAATGGACAGAAAGGAAACTGATAGGATTAAAAGAATTTGTTGATAATTGTGTGCATATATAATAGCAAGAACTTGAAATATATTCTGTTTACTTCTTTAATTCATATAACAGATACACTTGTGTTGTTCACGATATTAATCATCTAATGTCAGTTGAACTTCCTTTGCAACTATCAGCAGCACAAACGACAAAATTATTTTGAATTAAGATGTGTCACGTGACTGAATGTGGTCACAGGACAAAGTGTTTTACCGACCGTGCAAGTGCTGTAAAGTCAGTCAAGTTCGTTATAAACTTCCATTTGTTGTATAAAAATGTCACGGACGAAAAGTCACAATTCAGTTTAGAGGTTATTTTTCCTTGAACAAGAAAACACTAATTTTGAGAATATATTGTTGGTTTTGTTTTGAATTTTTATAATTGAAGCAACATTGTGAATACAATTTATTCAAGAAATATCAGCTAAGTATTTAAATGACATTTACATTTACATTGTATTACATTATATTTTGTTTATTATAAACAACATGAGCATTAAATGACTTGCAAGTTTGTCTTGAATCGCTTGCAATTTGAGTTTTTACATAGAATTTTGTGTCAGCAAAGTTTTACAAAATATATTTTTCACAAGATTTAAGTTTTTGTTTTCAGAAACAGAAATTTTTCTTTGGAAGCAATTTGATATATGTTTTTCTGCCAATCGAAAAACCTCCACCAACATATTGTATGTCTTGAGAAGTAAATGAACATTGTTTTTTATTAATAAATGTATATCAAAACTTTTTAAGTGATACTTTGAGCTTTTTTCTATTTAGCGTCTGTTCTTCTCTTTATACTGTTCCCAGACAGCATTATCTGGCAAAAAAACTCATCGGCTGTTTTTTTTCCATATTTGTATCTATTTCATCATAACTAATATGATTAAAGAAAATAATTCTAAAAATACAAAAAAATTAATCCTGCAATAGGGCAGGCCTAAACAAACCATGTCTTTTTTAAATTTCAATTCAATCTCTTTCGGAGCAGGGGTAAAAAAAATTTCTTCAAATGTATTTAAATTGAATGATATAAAGCACTGAAAATATAATTTTTTACAGGAACGTAAGCAGCTGAAAAGACCTAGACCAAGTTCTTTCAGTGGCTGTTCATGTCAATGGCTTTATATATTCACACGTGATTTTGTTTTAAATACTTAGTACGCTTTAGAAGTTAATATTATATATATTCACATGTATGTGAATTTTGTAAAGTTACGCATATTTTTTTTCATTAGCATGTTATGTCAAATTCTTGCATTACATTGTTAAGCTTATACCCGGCTAGTTAAGAAAGTAAAGTGAAGTTACTATTTACACAAAACATTTAGCTTGTAATAAGTAGGCCCCCCAAGGGTGACTGGGGAATAGAAATATGGTCACCATTGGTCTTCCTCCGACCGGCGGTAAAACCCTCGTTGAAGTGGGGCGTCCGTTTGGCTGTGCGGGATGTACAAGTTCGCAGTCACGTCCGGTTAGAATGGGGACGTTAAATCCGATGCCTCGTGTAAAGAGAGTGCCACGTTCTTTGCACGTTAAGAACCCTTGCAACAACTCTTTGAGGGGTCCGTAGGTGGCCTGTTGCAAGGCTAAATTTCTGTTCCTATCCAATATACCCTCATTTTCCCGTGGCATTCAAAATTTCCCCGACCTTCATCCCGGACGGCCTCTATTACAGGACCTACCTATTATATTTATTGTAAACTTGTTCTCGTCCTGAACATGCATGAAATATTTGCCACTGGACGTTAAGTAACCAACAATCAATCAATCAAAAGCACTGTCATCAATCGGAAAAGATTTGCTGTTGTTATAATGCAAGAAACCACAAACTGGGTAATTGCTGGATAATACCAATAAAAAATAGGAATAAATACCAGGACATTTGTCAAAACCAGATTCCCAGAAGTTATTCAATAAATCTGTCATGGCAGGTTGATATATGGCAATTTGGTTTTTCAATTTGCAGAATTCTTTTTCAGCCAAGCCCTCCTTAAGTAACTTTAACAACAGCTTCCTTGTTTCTGAATTGTCGATGAACACTTGGGTATTGTGAGATCTGAAATACTACAATATTTGTGCAGTTTTTTCATGTGTAAAGGGGATAACTCAAGGAAGGTAAAAGTGACACCCGTCAAAATTCAAATTTAATCTGTGTTTTGTTGTAAAAAGCATTTTGTAAGAGTTGTATAACATTTGGTTGAAGCAAACAGAACTGAAACCAATTTTGGGATGTTCTGACGAACGGACGTACAGACGGACTAGGGCAAAATTTAATGTCCTTCCACTACAGCGGGGACTTAAAAACAGCTGAGAATAGCCACATATTACATATACAAATGTACCTAAAATGTTTCAAACAAACATGAGCCAAGGCTCTGTGTTGAAGGCCCTTATTAAGATATACTTTTCTTTTATAATTTTACAAATCGTTATAAAGAATATCCAGTACTTTTTAAAGCCATTTCTTGTGCCTTTCTCTGCCATCTAATGACCTATGCTGACATGCTGGAAATTCATCACTATGCCCATCATGTACATTTATGATGTTGTTCAGAATAGAATACCACTTAGCAATAATTACATCCGGGTCCTGTCCTGCTGAAGAGGCAGCAGTCCAGTAAAGGTAGTTAACAATACTTTAAATCCATAGTTGAATGTCCTTGCAGTCTTTTTCCATTGAAAGTTTAGCCAACTTTTTCTTTAAACCTGAAAAATAGCCATTTCATTATATATTTTACTTAACGTAATGTGTTTATAGTACATTCATGCCACAGTAAAAACTGGTTAGTAAGGCCAATAATCGTAAAGTACTTTAAAAAAAAAAAATTCATTTAACAGCATTTTAAAAAACTAACCTTTGGCAACATGCTATACATCCAAGTGGTGTGTTGTTTCTTGCATCTGTTCCCGTATCCATTTCGCTATCATTTTGTGTCCATCTGTTATGATTGTCTTTATTGGAATAGTATGGTGTTGGAAAAACTCGACACTTCGCACTGATCCAGCCTTTTCCATATGTTGGCTATTTGGAACTTCATTACTCTGTGCAAATAATAACAGGTGAAAATTTAAATACTGATAACTAAAAAAAAATATTCTGCAAGTGTTACCTACCTGTTCTTAAATATAATTTGGTCTATATTATATATACATGGTGTTGTTCAGTTAAGTGTAGGCGAAGCTATAGGGGAGTTTTGGTTTGCTTGCTTGCCGTCAGTCTGTCCATCTGTCAGTCCGCCTTATCAGTTTTCAACACTTTTTTTCATAAAGATATTTATTAATTTGATTTCCGGAAAAAAGACTAATTTTAAAGCATACAAATGTAAATATCTGAACTAATTGAATATCTTCAACAGTTCCCTCATCTTAATCATTCATATTGTAACTGCCATACTTAGCGTAATTGCCAGGAGTGTCACATCTTCCATCACCGCCAAGTACAACAGTTCTACTACTTTGTATAATATCCCGAACATAATCTTGGTGGTTCATATAGATACTCATACTGATACAAGAAATGTTCATGTAGTTGTACATCCTCAGTACTTTACTATGAATTGATCCAGATAGGAGAATGGCAGAAGACATGCTTAAATATCCAGCTGGCTTTCCTCCGACAAAAGGCTGGCTAAACCATTTGAAAGAAA